GGTCTCCGGCAAGGAGACACGGGGCCAGAGGTTGAGCTGATGCGCGTCATACCGAACCGCAAACGGCCACAGAAAATGGGGGGCAGCCACATGGATCATGGAGGTACGAGCGACCTCCATGACTAAGCCAATGCGGCGCTCAGCAACCGCATTCTGCTGCGGAGAGGCCGGAAGCGTGAACGTCTGGAGGATGTCGTGCTCCGCAGAGAAGGCTGCCAAGAGGTCGGAGGAAAATTCCCCACCTCTGTCAGAGTGCAGACGTAGGACGGGAAACTCCGTCCCGAACCGCTCGTTGAGCTGGAGACGAGTAGCGCGGATCCAAGGGATCAAAACATCAGGGACCTCACCCTTGGTGCGCAAGGGGAAGACCGTGGTGTAACGCGTGTAGTCGTCAACGACCAGCAGGAAGTGCCGCTCGTGGCCCTATCCACTGACGCGGGCTGTGCCCCACACGTCCAGGTGGAGAGTCTGCAGGGGAGCCTCTGTGGGAGGAAACGAGGAAGAGTGAGGAGCGGCGCGCTGCCGCACCTCGACACAGGGAAGACAGGGAGGAGCAGGCAAGGGTGGGAGGGGAGGGAGAACCCTGGGAAGACCAGAGACAAGGACACTGCGGTGCATGCTGCAAAGGCGCTGCACCGAGGTGTGACCAAGGCGGTGGTGACAAAGGAGGGTCTAGTGCGACAAGGCGCGACATGAGCAGGGGGCTGACAACTGACCTGACGCAGACGCAGACGCAGCTACCTCAGGGGACTCAGTGGTCAGTGTTTACAGGCCCGACCCCGGCTGCCGAGTGAAGGTAGCCAGGTGACGACCCGTCTGAGCACACGTGCAGTGTGTCACACGCTCGTAGGCAGGGGTGAACTGGTGAACACCCGCGTCCTGGAGCGCAGAACCCGCCACCAAGTTCGTAGAGAACGAGGGGAGGTAAAGACCCAATAGTGTGCCGGACGGGACAGCAGGACAAGGGAGGACAGTGGTGGAGGTCGCACGGACCGGACCCCCAGAGGGGCCTGCCAGGGAGACTGCAACCGGCTGACCGAGCGGCGTGAGGGTGGTGCTGTCGCGGAAGAAGGAGCGAGAAGCACCGGAGTCAAGTGTGAAGGTGTACAAGGCCTCAGCAGACGCAGTACCAGAGAGAGCAGACTCACCAGCACCTGGAGCAGCAGCCTCACCAGCACCTAGAGCAGGAGACGCACGAGCACCTAGAGCAGCAGCCTCACAAGCACCTAGAGCAGCAGGCTCTATACCTGGGTCAGGCGGTACGCACAGGTAATAGGCACGGTCAGCACTAGTAGGCAATGCATACATGGCAGTGAGAATAGCATTATAGTCAAGAGCAAAGATATCTACCCCCTGTCCAAGCAGCTTCAACCAGGTGGGGAGCTCAGCCTCGTCGCCAAACTCGGTACGCCAAGCGTCGCTCAGACGGGCGAAGCAGCGGGACTGTGTGTGACTAAGCGTCCCGCAAGCCTGACCAGTCCGATCACCTGTGCAAATGACGTACGGGCAGCGAACGGTACTCAAAGACCCTCTACTCTGAACGTACCACTCACGAAGCTGCTGGGGCGTGAGAGACTCGCGCGGACGTCGCTGGAGCTGCATCTGGCCACTGCCAGTAGCAGCAGTTACAGTAGTAGCCGCAGCAACAGCAGTAACAGCAGTAGTAGCAGTAGCAGCAGTAGCAGCGCGGCCACCCCTACAACCCCAACTAGCGTACCACTCACGAAGCTGCTGAGGCGTGAGGGACTCACGTGGACGTCGCTGGAGCTGCATCTGGCCAACTCCAGTAGTAGTAGTAGCAGCAGCAGCGCGGGCAAGGCAGGCGCGGCAGGCAGGCAGGCGGGCAGGCAGGCAGGCAGGCAGGCAGAGGGCGCGGCAGTGCGCGAACAAGGCAGGTGCTCACCAGTGGTGGGAAGGGCCGGCGCTTGGCGGGCAGCGGCAGGGTAGGCGCATGATGGTAGTGACGGCGGGGCCGCAGCAAAAGCTGCAGAGTAGGGCCGCGGCAGTTGCAGGGTGGGGCCGCGTCAGCGGCAGGTCGGGGTCGCGTCAGCTGCAGGGCTGGCGGGGCCGCGTCGGCGTCCGGGCAGGGCAGCGTCGGCGGCATGGCCGGGCTGCGTCGGCTGCAGGGCGCGGCCGCGTCAGAGGCAGGGCGCGGCCGCATCAAAGGCTGGGCGCGGCCGCGTCAGGGGTAGGGTGGGGCCGCGTGATGCAGGGCGCGGCCGCGTCAGAGGCAGGGCGCGGCCGCGTCGAAGGCAGGGCGCGGCCGCGATGAAGGCAGGGCGCGGCCGCGTTAGAGGCTGGGCGCGGCCGCGTAAGAGGCAGGGCGCGGCCGCATCGGCTGCAGGGCGCGGCCGCGTCGAAGGCAAGGCGCGGCCGCGACGAAGGCAAAGCGCGGCCACATCAGAGGCAGGGTGGGGCCGCGTCGGCTGCAGGGCGCGGTCGCGTCGAAAGCAGGGCGCGGCCGCGTCGAAGGCAGGGCGCAGCCGTGTCAGAGGCAGGGCAGGGCCGCGTCGGCTGCAGGGCGCGGACGCGTCGAAGGCAGGGCGGGGTTGCGTCGAAGGCAGGGCGCGGCCGCGTCAGAGGCTGGGCGCGGCTGCGTCAGAGGCAGAGCGGGGCCGTGTTCTGGCCTGACGGGCCTGCAGGGACGGCTCGTGGACATGACGGGCCTGCAGGGGCGGCTCGTGGGCCTGACAAGCCTGTAGAGGCGGCGCGTGGGCCTTACGAGCCTGCAGGGGCGGCGCGCGGGCCTTACGAGCCTGCAGGGGCGGCGCGCTGGCCTAGGGCAGCAAGAGACAGCACGAGGGTGTCAGAATCAAGAAGTGTTGGGCTAGAAACAAGTTGGGAGTACAACTATGAAACCCTAGAGAAATGTACCCCCTAAAGGCTAACCCACTGAAACCTACAAAACAGAAACATATAAATGTTTGACACACCCCCATAGGCTAAGTGGGGGAGAACAAGAGGTCACAAGACCAGTCAAGAAAGACAAAGCAAGCTCAGGGTGGATCACAACGTCACCACACACTCTAAGCACAAGTAAGAGGCCACAAGGCCAGTTCACATGCAAAGCCATATATGTAACACAGGCATCACAGTGATCTATACCTAGCAAAGCAAGCATGCAGGTATAAATATATAGATCACAGTACAGGCAGAGTCTACAACAAGTGAGGAAAAGTGGGCACAAGCCCTAGCAAAGTGCAGAAACGTTGATGATCACCAGACTGAAGCGCCTTGGTGAATATATCAGCAGTGTTGGCCTGAGTGGCCATGTAACGCAGACGAAGCTGACCACGCTGCTGCAACTCTCGAGCCAGGAAGTAACGTAGAGAGATGTGCTTCGTTCTGTGCTCCAGTCTGTGCTCCTCACACAAGGCAATGGCAGCCTTGTTGTCGACGTACAGCACTGCAGGAGAACGAGGCCGCTCTCCCAGGTCAGTTAGCAGGTAGGTGAGCCAGCGTAACTCCTGTGCAGCCATGGCTGTGGCGTAGATCTCAGCCTCACAACTGGAGCTGAGAACAGAAGACGAGCGAGTAGAACGCCACGAAACTGAGCTAGAGCCAAGGCTGAAGGTGTAACCCTGTGACGACCGCTGAGTAGCCTGGTCGTCAACCCCGCTGAGTGCCCAGTGAGAACAACTGAGCTCCCTCCTCCAAGCATGAGCCCCATGCCCGATGTACTGCACAAGTAGCGCAATACCCTCTTTGCAGCATCCCAGTGCACCTTTCGGTGGCTGCCAGGAGCCACGTAGCGGGCCAGAATGCCAAGAGGGTATGCTAGGTCAGGACGAGTGCAAGTCATCAGGTACATGAGGCAACCAACTAGCTTTGGGTAAGGACCACTCGGCTCTACGGACTCATCCGAAGGCAGAGCTGAGAGCGAGTGACCTATAGCCAGAGGAGTGGCCTGTGCTGAGGACCAAGTGAAGGCGAGTGACCTATAGCCAGAGGAGTGGCCTGCGCTGAAGAACCTGCTGCACCATGTGTGACTGAGTCAGTGTGATGGTGTGGCGTGCTCTGTCCCGGGTGATCTGCAAGCCAAGGTAGCTGCGCAGTTCACCCAGGTCTGTGCACGTGTGTCTCTTCTGCAGCTCGGACTTCACGTGGGTGAGTCCAGCAGTGTCAGCTGTGGCAAAGACCAAGTCGTCGACGTACACAAGGATGTAGAACGGTGGCAGCGATGTGTCGGTGCGCAGAAACAGCGACGGGACAACAGTAGAAGGCGCGAACCCAAGAGCCGCAAGTGTAGTCCTCAGTGTGTCGTGCCACTCATTGTCAAACTTATATGCTATAGTCTGTGTAGGCTGTAGTGGGGTTGACAATATAGGGTACAACACTTTTAGGTTTTCCTACTTGTACCCACCTGTTTCCTAGTGCATTCATTCCTTGTTCTTTCACATGGTATAGAGCAGGTTCCCTAGTGGGAACGTTTCCTAGGGCCCACCGAAAATCGTTTTTTTTTTCCTGCCCGGAGCGCGCTTCGCCCCTGCCCGAGTCGCGCCCCGTGTGCCTACCCTCCCGTCGCGTCCCCTGCCCTTAGCGGCCCGTCGCGCTCCCTTACAGCCCCGTAGCAGCCCCACTTACGGCCCCTCATGGCCCCTCTCACGGCCCTTCGCGGCCCCTTCACGCCCCTCGCGGCCCCTTCGTGGCCCCTCGACGCCCCTCGCGGCCCCTTATCGGCCCGTCGCCGCCCTTCGTGGCCTCGTCGCCACCCGTCTCGGCTTTGTCGCCGCCCTTCGCGGCCCCGTCGCTGTCCTTCGAGGCCCCGTCGCCGCCCTTCAAGGCCCCTCGCGGCCCCTTCTCGGCCCCGTCGCCGCTGCCGTGACAGCCGCCACCGCCGCTGCCGGAGCCGCAACTGCTGCCGCCGCTGACAGCTGGAGCCGCTGCCGACGTGCCTCGGCCCTGCCCCACCACTTGCGGGCCCCTACCCACCCACCCTGGTAAGAGCACCGCCGAGCCGCGCCTGCTGCTACTGCTACTAGCCTGCTGCTACTATTGTCATGGCTACCCCTAGCGTTCTCACCTTTGATGCTGAGGGTCGGGCTGTCAACTTTGATGTCAGGGTCGATGATCTGCAGCTTTTCCTGCAGTGCGATAGGAAAGACGGTCTCTCACTGTTCGATCTCACGTCTGGCGCCTCTCCTGCCCCTACTACCGATGCTGACAGCACTGTTCGCTCACAGTGGGCCAAACGTGATGCTGCTGCCCGTCTTGCTGTGCGTAGTCACTTGCCATCCACTGAGCGCGCGCACTTTAGTCAGTACAAGAGTGCTAAGACCTTGTACGACGATGTAGTTGCACGCTACTCTTCCCCTGCCACTGCTGCCCTTAGCCGCCTCATGCTGCCGTACGTGTTCCCTGACCTCGCCGCCTTTCCCACAGTCGCTGACCTCATTACGCACCTTCGTACTAGTGACACCCGCTACCGCGCTGCGCTTCCTGCTGAGTTCTGCGCCAAGAACCCCCCCCCCCCCCCCCATGTACATCACCCTCTACTACATAGTCACCCGGCTCCCCGACTCCCTTCGCTCAGTCAGGGACCACTTCCTCTCTGTTTGCCCCACCACACTCACCGATGACCTCCTCGAGGAGCGCCTCCTGGCAGCTGAGAAGAGTATAGTCGCTGTAGGAGCATCTCCTGGTGACCCTCGTACCCCCTCCCCGCTTTTGCCCTCTGTTGCCTCTGCTGCTGCCGTCGACTTCGTTGGCATCGAGTCGGTCGGCGCTGCGTCTGCCCCTAGCGGGAGACGCCGCACCGGCAAGAGCAAGGGGGGCAAGGGCGCTGGAGGGGGTGGCGGAGGCGGTGGAGGTGGCGGTGGAGGCGGCGGATGGAGTGGGGGTGGTGGTGGGAGTGGTGGCGGGGGTGGGGGCTTCGGTGGCGGTGGTGGAGGCGGAGGCGGCGGCGGCGGTGGCGGTGGGAGCGGAGGAGGAGGCGGTGGCGGCGGTGGCGGAGGTGGTGGCGGCGGAGGTGGAGCTGGTCGGGGTGGCTCTGCGCAGCGGGGCGGCTTCGGTGGTGGTTAGCGCCAGCAGCAGCAGCGCACTCGTGACACCACGCCCCCCCAGCAGCTTTGTGAGTGGTACGCTGCGGGTCAGCGGGGTGGGGGTGCTGGTCCTTGTGCCTACGTCCTGCGTACCGGCGGCCGCACTGGTGAGCTGTGCGGTGGCCCGAACACCACCGAGCGCTGCTTCGGCCGCCTGACGGACGCTTGGCGTCTCTAGTTCCCTGACGCCACTGAGATCCCCCACTGGGGTGAGCTGCTTAGGTCGGGGGTTGCTATCTTTGATCTGGATTATGATGCTATTCTTGCTGCCATGTATATTGTGTCTACTAGTGATGAGGGTGACTGTTACCTGTGTGTTCCGCCTGACCCGGGCATTGAGGCTGCTCCTCTAGGTGCTGGTGAGGCTGCTACTCTAGGTGCTAGTGCGTCTGCTGCCCCAGGTGCTGGTGAGTCTGCTCTCTCAGGTACCACGTCGGCTCAGGCCTTACACACCTTCACCCTTGACTCGGGTGCTTCCCGCTCCTTCTTTCGAGACCGCACCACGCTTACGCCGCTTAGTCGGCCAATTGCGGGCTCCCTGGCGGACCCCTCTGGGGGTCCTGTCCTTGCCCACTTCTCCACTGTCTTACCGTGTCCGGCGGCCCCCTCTGGCACCCTGTCCAGTCTCTACCTCCCCTTGTTCTCTACGAACTTGGTGAGTGGTGCTGATCTATAGGATGGGGGGGTTGACCAGTTTGAGAGAAGTTGAACGAGAATGAATGAACTATGAATGAAGTGGGTACAAGTACAAACCCTAATTGGGTTGTACCCCCTATGGGATACCCCACTACAGCTTACACAAATGTATAAGCTATATAATGTTCTGACACACCCCCATAGGCAAAGTGGGGGAGAACAAGGGGTCACAAGACCAGTCAAGCAAAGCAAAGCAAAGCAAGCTCAGGGTGGATCACAAAGTCACGACACAGTCCGAGCACAAGGTCAAGGCCACAAGGCCAGTTCACATGCAGGAGTGCACATATATATATAACACTAAACAAGCAAGAGCAGGTATATATATATGCAAGAGTACAAGTAAGATCAAGAGGTGAGCAAGTGAGGTAAGACAGGTACAAGTCCCAGCTGAGTGCAGAAGCGCTGATGATCACAAGGCGGAAGTGCCTTGGTGAAAACATCAGCAGTGTTGGCCTCAGAGGCCACGTACGCAAGTCGCAACTGACCACGCTGCTGCAGCTCACGAGCAAGAAAGTAGCGGAGAGCAATGTGCTTCGTTCTGTGCTCCAGGCGCTGCTCTCGACACAAGGCCAGCATGGCCTTGTTGTCTACGTACAGCACTGGAGGAGAACGAGGCGGCTCTCCAAGGTCAGCCAGCAGGTAGGTGAGCCAGCGAAGCTCCTGAGCAGCCATGGCCCCGGCGTAGATCTCAGCCTCACAACTGGAGCCGAGAACAGAAGACGAGCGAGTAGCCCGCCACGAAACAGAGCCGGAACCAAGACTGAAGGTGTAACCGTGTGACGACCGCTGAGTAGCCTGGTCGTCAGCCCAAGAAGCGTCCGCGTGCCCAGTGAGGACCACTGGACTCCGCCCTCCAAGCACTAGCCCCATGCCCGACGTACTGCACAAGTAGCGCAACACCCTCTTCACTGCAGCCATGTGCTCTGGTCGGTGTCTCCCAGGAGCAACATAGCGTGCAAGAATGCTAAGAGGGTATGCAAGGTCAGGTCGTGTGCAGGTCATCAGGTACATGAGGCAGCCAACAAGCTCTGGGTACGGGCCACTCGACTCTACGGACTCATCCGAAGGCAGAGCTGAGAGCGAGTGGCGAGTAGACAGAGGAGTGGCCTGAGGCGAGGAGTACGTGAAGGCGAAGCGCTGAAGGACCTGCTGCACCATGTGTGATTGAGTCAAGGTAATGGTGCGTCGTGCTCTGTCCCGAGTGATCTGCAAGCCAAGGTAGCTGCGCAGTTCACCCAGGTCTGTGCACGTGTGTCTCTTCTGTAGCTCAGACTTCACGTAGGCGAGTCCAGCAGTGTCCGCTGTGGCAAAGATCAAGTCGTCAACGTACACGAGGATGTAGAACGGCGGCAGAGAAGTGTCGGTGCGCAGAAACAACGATGGGTCAGCAGTAGAGGGAGCAAACCCAAGAGCCGCAAGCGTAGTCCTCAGTGTGTCGTGCCACTCACGCGGTGCCTGGTGGAGACCGTAGACTGGCCGCCGGAGGCTCCACTGGGTGCCAGGAGGGAAAGTCCCAGTGAAGCCAGGTGGACGGCGCAGCCAGATCTCCTCGTGCAGGCTACCCTGCAAGAAAGCAGTGCTGAAGTCAAGAGAGTGGAGCTCGTAGTCGCGCTGAGCGGCTATGTGCAGCAGCACCCGAAGAGTGGTCATCTTCGGGGTGGGAGAGAAGGTCTGAAAGTAGTCAACTCCCTGCCGCTGACTGAAGCCACGAGCCACGTACCGCGCCTTGAAGACACGTGGAGAGCCCGGCGGCCGCTTCTCCCTGAAGATCCACATGCCACTGATGATGTTCGCCCCAGGAGGGGGAACCGCGTCAACGTAGGTGCCTGTGGACTTCCAGGAAGCCATCTCTGCATCCATAGCTGCCTGCCACTGAGAGGAATAGGGACCCTCTACGGCCTCCGCGTAAGAGCGCGGAATCGGGATGTCCAGTGCATCCGGGTCTCCCTCAGGGGCAAGTAGTACGGACACGAGATGAGGTGAAGCAGCAGCCAGACACTGGAACTCCTCCTGCCTGTCCTCAAGGACGTCCATGCTAAGAGCACACTCACCCCCGACGGACGGAGGATAGACAGACACAGACTCAGCAACAAGACTGGCAGCGTAGTCTAGACGACAGCGAGTAGCAAAGTCGACGAGCTCAGCAACAAGCGCAGACGCAGCAGTGGACTCAAAAGAGGGGTCAGTGACGACAGTAGCAAGGAGACGCGTGACAGTAGGACTGGCAGCACGAAGAGAGTCCGACTCAGGGTCGGCAAGCGCAGGAAGAGAGGACTCAGCAGGAGAGGGCAAAGGGGCACGCAGAGGAGAAGTGGACGGATGCAGAGACATCCGGTGCGTGCCAGGGACAGGACGAGGACGGTGACGCGAACTGCGGCCACTAGTGCGAGCAGCACGAACAGGCAACGCAGGACGGGACGCAAGCTCACGACGCTCAGCAAGACCTCCAGTAGGACCAGTGTACGGAGAAGGAGAAGGCAGTGGGGAGGCCGGCGGTAACTGTGACTGTGACTGGACAGGCGGTGGACACTCTACAGGAGGAGAAAGACCAAGAACCTGCTGCAGGAGCGGAACGAAGTACGGCCGAGGCAGCGCAGCAACTCCAGACACAGCAAGGACAGCACCAGCACCCTCAGCGGCAGCACCAGCGCCAACAGCACCTCCAGCGGCAGCATCGCGGGTGGCCCACTGAGAGCGAACAGTGGGGTCAGCGTCAGTATCAGGGGCAGGAGAGGCGCCAGAGGTGAGGTCAAAGAGAGAAAGACCGTCCGCCCTATCGCACTGTAAAAACAGCTCCAGGTCGTCGACCCAGACCTCAAAGTCAATGGCTCGACCCTCAGCGTCAAAAGTGAGGACACTAGGGGTAGCCATGACGACGATAGACTAGCAGTGCAAGCAGTAGGGGAAGGGCACGCAGTAACAGTGGGGCTGCGCTCAACAGATAGGGCAGGCCGGGCGGCTCGGTAGTAGGGCGGCTCGGCTGCTGGGCAGCTCGGCGGCTGGGCGGCTCTGCGGCTCGGCGCTCAGCTGCTGGGCGGCTCGGCTGCACAGCGGCTCGGCGGCTGGGCGGCTCGGCGGCTCGGCGCTCGGCTGCTGGGCGGCTCGGCTGCTTGGCGGCCCGGCTGAACGGCGGCTCGACTGGTGGGCGGCCGGGCGGCTCTGCAGCTGGGCGGCCCGGCTCCTCCGGTACTCGGCGGGGCGGCGGTTGGCTGCTCGGGTGCACGTTGCAGGGTGGTGCTGCGGTCGGCGGCTCGGGTGGCGGTCAGGAGAGGAGAGTGGCAGGGCCGCAGCAGACGGGCGGCGGGGCCCCAGGTACAGGGCGGCGGGGCCGCAGCAGAAGGGCGGCGGGGCCGGTAGAGTCCGGCGGCAGGGCCGCGAAGTGGGGCTGCGGGGCCGCGAAGTGGGGGGGGGCGGGGCCGGTAGAGTCGGGCGGCGGGGCCGAGAAGTGTAGGGCGGCGGGGCCGCGAGGTGTAGGGCGGCAGGGCTGCTAAAGCAGGGCGGCGGGGCCGCGAGGTGTAGGGCGGCGGGGCCGCTAAAGCAGGGCGGCGGGGCCGCGAAGTGTAGGGCGGCGTGGCCGCTAGAGCAGGGCGGCGGGGCCGCGAGGTGTAGGGCGGCGGGGCCGCAAGGTGTAGGGCGGCGGGGCCGCTAAAGCAGGGCGGTGGGGCCGCGAGGTGTAGGGCGGCGGGGCCGCTAAAGCAGGGCGGCGGGGCCGCGAAGTGTAGGGCGGCGGGGCCGCTAGGTGTAGGGCGGCGGGGCCGCTAAAGCAGGGCGGCGGGGCCGCTAAAGCAGGGTGGCGGGGCCGGTAAAGCAGGGCGGCGAGGCCGCGAATCAGGGGCGGCGGGGCCGCGACAGTAGGGCGGCAGGGCCGCTAAAGCAGGGCGGCGGGGCCGGTAAAGCAGGGCGGCGAGGCCGCGAATCAGGGGCAGCGGGGCCGCGACAGTAGGGCGGCAGGGCCGCTAGGGGAGGGAAGGCCGCTAGGGCGGCTCGTCGAGTAAACAGCCCGAGGCGCGACTCGGGATGAGCGCGCTTCGGGTAGTAAAAAAAAATCGAAGTGGTGGGCCCTAAGCGCAGTTCCCACAGGGGAACCTGCTCGATACCATGAGAGAAGTTGAACGAGAATGAATGAACTATGAATGAAGTGGGTACAAGTACTAACCCTAATTGGGTTGTACCCCCTATGGGATACCCCACTACAGCCTACACAAATGTATAAGCTATATAATGTTCTGACACAGTTCACTCCTGCGAGTCAGCGGGTGACCCACTGTACGTGTGCTCGGACGGGCCGACAATTGGCCACGTTCACCCGTCAGCCGGGGTCGAGCCTGTACACACTGACTACTGAGTCTCCTCCTGTTGTTGAGTCTGGTCAGGTAGCTGCGTCGGGTCAGGTGTTTGCTGCAGCGTCCAGGTCTGGTCCTGAGTCTGCTCCCTGCTCGTGTCGTCTCCTGTCCCACCAGACTCTCCTCTGGCACCACCGCCTTGGTCACCCCTCCCTGCCTCGTCTCCGAGGCATGGCCTCCCGTTAAAATGTCTCTGGTCTCCCCTGGTCCCTCCCTCCCCTCCCTCCGGGGCCTGCCCCTACCTGCGTTCCCTGCGTCGAGAGGCGGTAGCGTGCCGCTCCTCACTCCTCAGAGTTTCCTCCAACAGAGGCTCCGCTGCAGACTCTTCACATGGACGTGTGGGGCCCCGCCCGCGTCCGTGGCCTGGGTCACGAGCGTTACTTCCTGTTGGTGGTTGACGACTACACGCGTTACACACAAATTTTCCCCTTGCGCAGCAATGGTGACGTCACTGAGGTGTTGATCGACTGGATCCGCGCAGCTCGTCTCCAGCTCAGAGAGAGTTTCGGCTCGGACTTTCCTGTTCTGCGTCTGCACTCTGACAGAGGCGGAGAGTTTTCCTCTGGCCTTCTGGGAGCCTTTTGTCGTGCACAGGGCATCTGCCAGACGTTCACGCTTCCGGCCTCCCCACAGAAAAATGGGATTGCTGAGCGCCGCATTGGCATGGTCATGGACGTCGCTCGTACGTCCATGATTCATGCAGCTGCTCCCCATTTTCTGTGGCCGTTCGCGGTTCAGTACGCGACGCATCAGATCAACCTTCAGCCCCGAGTCTCCTTGCCGGAGACCTCCCCTACTCTGCGGTGGACGTGGAAGGTTGGCGATGCGTCTGCGTTTCGTGTCTGGGGATCTCGGGCTTTTGTCCGCAACTTGTCTATGGACAAGCTGTCCCCCCGTGATGTTCCCTGCGTCTTCCTTGGCTTCCCCCCTGACGCGCCTGGTTGGCAGTTTTACCACCCCACCTCACGCCGTGTTTTGTCCTCCCAGAACATCACGTTTGACGAGTCGGTTCCTTACTACCGTCTCTTCCCCTACCGCACTGCGCCCCCCCTCCCCCCCCCCCGCTGCTGCTCTTCCTCGCGCCAGGTCCCCCCCGGCTAGACCCCCTTCCCCCTCAGGGTCCTGCTCCCTCACCTGTGTCTCAGGGTCCTGCCCCCTTAGGTGTGTCTCAGTTGCTCGCTGTCGTCTAGACTACGCCGCTAGTCTCGTTGCTGAGTCTGAGTCTGTCTGTCCTCCGTCCATCGGGGGTGAGTGTGCTCGTAGCACGGACGTCCTTGAGGACAGGAAGGAGGAGTTCCAGTGTTTTGCTGCTGCTTTGCCTCATCTCGTCTCCATGCTGATTGTCCCTGAGGGAGACCCGGATGCACCAGACATCCCGACTCCTCGATCGTACGCTGAGGCGATCGAGGGTCCCTACTCCTCACAGTGGCAGTCAGCAATGGATGCAGAGATGGCTTCCTGGAAGTCCACAGGCACTTACGTCAACGAGGTTCCCCCACCTGGGGCGAACATCGTCAGTGGCATGTGGATTTTCAGGGTGAAGCGGCCGCCGGGTTCTCCGCCTGTCTTCAAGGCGCGTTACGTGGCTCGAGGCTTCAATCAGCGGCAGGGAGTTGACTACTTTCATACCTTCTCTCCCACCCCGAAGATGACCACTCTTCGGGTGCTGCTGCACATAGCCGCTCAGCGCGACTACGAGCTTCACTCTCTTGACTTAAGCACAGCTTTCTTGCAGGGCAGCCTGCACGAGGAGATCTGGCTGCGCCGCCCACCTGGCTTCATTGGGTCGTTTCCTCCTGGTACCCAGTGGAGCCTCCGGCGGCCAGTCTACGGTCTCCGCCAGGCGCCCCGTAAGTGGCATGACACACTGAGGACTACACTTGCGGCTCTTGGGTTTGCTCCTTCTACTGTCGATCCGTCACCGACACCTCTTTGCCGCCGTTCTACATCTTCGTGTACGTCGACGACTTGGTCTTTGCCACTGCTGACACTCCTGGACTCGCCCACGTGATGTCCGAGCTGCAGAAGAGACACACGTGCACAGACCTGGGTGAACTGCGCAGCTACCTTGGCTTGCAGATCACCCGGGATAGAGCACAGCGCACCATTACCCTGACTGAGTCACACATGGTGCAGCAGGTCCTTCAGCGCTTCGACTGCACGTACTCCTCGCCTCAAGCCACTCCTCTGTCTACTCGCCACTCGCTCTCAGCTCTGCCTTCGGATGAGTCCGTAGAGCCGAGTGGCCCGTACCCAGAGCTTGTTGGCTGCCTCATCTACCTGATGACCTGCACTCGACCTGACCTTGCATACCCTCTTAGCATCTTGGCACGCTATGTTGCTCCTGGGAGACACCGACCAGAGCACATGGCTGCAGCGAAAAGGGTGTTGCGCTACTTGTGCAGTACGTCGGCCATGGGGCTAGTGCTTGGAGGGCGGCGTTCAGTGGTCCTGACAGGTCACGCAGACGCTTCTTGGGCTGACGACCGGGCTACGCGGCGGTCGTCACAGGGTTACACCTTTAGCCTTGGTTCCGGCTCTGTTTCGTGGCGGTCTACCCGCTCGTCTTCTGTTCTCGGCTCCAGCTGTGAGGCTGAGATCTACGCGGGGGCCATGGCTGCACAGGAGCTACGCTGGCTCACCTACCTGCTGACTGACCTAGGAGAGCCGCCTCGTTCTCCTCCAGTTCTGTACGTAGACAACAAGGCCATGCTGGCCTTGTGTTGGGAGCACAAACTGGAGCACAGAACGAAGCACATTGCTCTTCGCTACTTCCTTGCTCGTGAGCTGCAGCAGCGTGGTCAGATGCGCCTTGCTTACGTGGCCTCTCAGCCCAACACTGCTGATATCTTTACCAAGGCACTTCCACCTTGTGATCATCAGCGCTTTTGTACGATGCTAGGTCTTGTGCCTACTTGGCCTCACTTGCTCACTACTTGACCTTGCTTGTACTGTGATCCATCTATACCTGCACTCGATTGTTTACCTTTATATATAATCTTGCATGTGAACTGGCCTTGTGGCCTTGAACTTGTGCTCGGAATGTGTGGTGACGTTGTGATCCACCCTGAGCTCACTGTGCTTTGCTTGACTGGTCTTGTGACCTCTTGTTCTCCCCCACTTTGCCTATGGGGGTGTGTCAAACTTATATGCTATAGTCTGTGTAGGCTGTAGTGGGGTTGACAATATAGGGTACAATACTTTTAGGTTTTCCTACTTGTACCCACCTGTTTCCTAGTGCATTCATTCCTCGTTCTTTCACACTCACGTGGCGCCTGGCGGAGACCGTAGACCGGCCGCCGGAGGCTCCACTGGGTACCAGGAGGAAACGACCCAGTGAAGCCAGGAGGGCGGCGCAGCCAGATCTCCTCGTGCAGGCTGCCCTGCAAGAAAGCTGTGCTGAAGTCAAGAGAGGGAAGCTCGTAGTCACGCTGAGCTGCAATGTGCAGTAGCACCCAAAGAGTAGTCATCTTCAGGGTGGGGGAGAAGGTCTGGAAGAAGTCTACTCCCTCTCGCTGACGGAAGCCTCGAGCAACGTAACGAGCCTTGAAGACAGGCGGAGAACCTGGCGGCCGCTTCACCCTGAAAATCCACATGCCACTGATGATGTTCGCCTCAGGAGGGGGAACCTCGTCAACGTAAGTGCCAGTGGATTTCCAGGATGCCACCTCTGCGTCCATGGCTGACTTCCACTGAGAGGAGTACTCACCCGCGATCTCCTCAGCGTAAGAGCGTGGGGTCGGGATGTCTGTGCATCCGGGTCTCCCTCCGAGGCAAGCAGCATGGACACGAGATGAGGCGCAGCGGCTGCAAGACACGCAAGGTCCTATTGTCTGCCCTCAAGGACGTCTGTGCCTAGAGCACACTCACCCCCGACGGACGGAGGACGGACGGACTCAGACTCAGCAACAAGACTCGCGGCGTAGTCTAGACGACAGCGATCAGCAAAGTCGACAAACTTAGCAACTAGGGCACACGCAGCAGCAGACTCAAAGGAAGGGTCAGTGACAGCAGTAGCCAGGAGACGCGTGACAGTAGGACTGGCAACACGAAAAGAGTCAGACTCCGGGTCAGCAAGGACATGAAGAGAGGACGCAGGAGGAGACGGCAGTGGGACACGCTGTGGAGCAGTGGAAGGACGCAGAGTCATGTAGTGGGTGCCAGGGACAGGCAAAGGACGCTCACGCGGAACACGGCGACTAGTGCGAGCAGTACGAACAGGTGACATAGGACGAGACTCAAGCGACTTAGGGCGAGACTCCGGCTCACGACGCTCTGTAAGACCGCCTGTCGGACTAGTGTAAGGAGAAGGACCTGGAAGTGGCGAGGCAGGCGGTAGCTGTGACTGCGACTGGACAGACGGAGGACACTCTAAGGAGGGAGGAGGACCAGGAGGAGGCGGCTGACCAAGAACCTGCTGAAGGAGCGGAACGAAGTACGGCCTCGGCCATGAAGTGCCCCCAGAAGCAGCAGAGACAATACCAGAACCTCCAGCCGAACCAGCACCAGCAGCACCTCTAGTAGCTCCAGGACCTCTAGCAGCACCAGCAGCACCTCCATCAGCTCCAGGGCCTCGAGCAGCACCAGCAGCACCTCCAGCAGCACCAGCAGCACCTCCAGCAGCACCAGCAGCACCTCCAGCAGCTCAAGTACCTCCAGCAGCACCAGCAGCACCTCCAGCAGCACCAGCACCAGCAGCACCAGCACCAGCAGCACCTCCAGCACCTCCAGGACCTCCAGTAGTAGCAGGGCCTCCAGCGGGCGGCACCTCAACACCAGGAGCTCCACTACGGAGGCTGCAGCGCCGAGCGTACCACTCACGTAGCCGCTGAGAGGAGGGAGGCTCCGGCTGCGACACTACACCTGTAGGGCCACCAGCCCCAACTCCAGCAAACCCCCGAGCTCCAGTAGCCCCACGACGGAGGCTGTAACTCTGGGAGTACCACTCACGCAGCTGCTGTGAAGAGGGAGCGCCAACAGGCGCAGTACGGTCACTCACAGAACCCCCAGCCTCAGCTCCTCTAGGCTCAGCACCCCCAGTCGCAGCACCCCCAGGCTCAGCTCCCCCAGGCTCAGCACCCGCAGTCTCCGCACCCCCAGACTCAGCACCCCCAGTCTCCGCACCCCCAGGCTCAGCACCTCCAGTCTCCGCAACCCCAGGCTCAACACCCCCAGTCTCAGTACCCCCAGACCCAGCACCACCAGGCTCAGCACGCTCAACACCTCGCGTAGGACCAGAGTCAACAGCTACCTCGACAGGCTCGACTGGGTCTAGCTGGGAAACACCTGATGGAGCAGCACCCTGGGGAGGGAGGGGGTCTACCGACGGGACACCTGGGGTGAGGAAGAGCGGCGGGGGGGGGAGCGGGGCAGTGCGGTAGGGGAAGATACGGTAAAAGGGTACCGACTTGTCAAACGTGACGTCCTGAGAGGCGAAGACACGGCCCGAGGTGGGGTGGTAAAACTGCCAGCCAGGCGCGTCAGGGACAAAGCCAAGGAAGACACAAGGAACGGCACGGGAGGAGAGCTTGTCCGCGGACGTATCGCGGACAAAGGCTCGACATCCCCAGACTCGGAACACCGACGCATCGCCAACCTCCCCCGTCCAACGCAGGGTAGGCGAGGTCTCCGGAGCGGAGACACGGGGCCAGAGGTTGAGCTGATGCGCGGCGTACTGCACTGCAAACGGCCACAGGAAATGGGGGGCAGCCGCATGGATCATGGAGGTACGAGCGACCTCCATGACTAGACCAATGCAGCACTCAGCAACCCCATTCTGCTGCGGAGAGGCCGGGAGAGTGAACGTCTGGCGGATGCCGTGCTCCGCAAAGTAGGCTGCCAAGAGGTCAGAGGAAAACTCACCTCCTCTGTCAGAGTGCAGACGCAGGACAGGAAAGTCCGACTGGAACTGCTGGCGGAGCTGGAGATGAGCAGCGCGGATCCAGGGGATCAAGACATCAGGGACCTCACCCTTGGTACGCAAGGGGAAGACCGTGGTGTAGCGCGTGTAGTCGTCGACGACCAGCATAAAGTACCACTCGTGGCCCTGTCCCCGGACGCGGGCGGGGCCCCACACGTCCAGGTGGAGAGTCTGCAGGGGAGCCTCTGTGGGAGGGAAAGAGGAAGAGTGAGGAGCGGCGCGATGCCGTCCCTCGACACAGGGAAGACAGGGAGGAGCAGGCGACGGTGGGAGGGGAGGGAGAACCCTGGGAAGACCAGAGACAAGGTACCTGGAGTGCATGCCGTGAAGGCGCTGCACTGACGGGTGACCAAGGCGGTGGTGCCAGAGGACAGTCCGGTGCGACAGGGAGCGACACGAGCAGGGGGCCGACAGCTGACCTGACGTAGACGCGGACGCAACTACCTGAGGGGACTCAGTGGTCAGTGTGTACAAGTCCGACCCCGGCTGCCGAGTGAAGGTAGCCAGGTGACGACCCGCCTGGGCACACGTGCAGTGCGTCATACGCTCGTAGGCAGGGGTGAACTGGTGAACATCCGCGTCCTGGAGCGCAGAACCCGCCACCAAGTTCGTAGAGAATGAGGGGAGGTAGAGGCCCGACAGCGTGCCAGACGGGACAGGAGGACAAGGGAGGGCAGTGGTGGAGGTCGCAAGGACCGGACCCCCTGAGGGGTCAGCCAGGGAGACAGCAACCAGTCTCGGAAGCTGCTCTAGGGCAGTGCGGTCGCGAAAGAAACAGCGGGAAGCACCTGAGTCCAGTATGAAGGTGTGCAGTGCCTCAGTAGATGCAGTACCAGCAGACGCAGACGCACTAGCACCTAGAGCAGCAGCCTCACCAGGACCTAGAGCAGCAGACGCACTAGCACCTAGAGTTGCAGCCTCACTGGTCCCAATACCCGGGTCGGGCGGTACACTCAGGTAAATGTCACCCTCAACACTAATAGTCAATGCATACATAGCAGCAAGGATAAAATCATAATCAAGAGCAAAGATATCAATCCTCTTCTTAAGCAGATCAGCCCAGCGCGGGGCAGCTTAGAGGCGTCAGGAAACTGCTCGCGCCAGGCGTCGTCGAGGCGAAAGAAGCAGCGCTGTGCCGTGTGAAACCTCCCACAGGTCTGGCCAGTGCGGTCACCTGTGCGGATGACGTACGAGCAGGTACCTCCACCCCCAGTCCCCCCACGCTGAGAGTACCACTCACGGAGCTGTTGGGGCGACTGGGTCTCGCTGGGACGCTGCTGTTGCTGCCTCTGGCCGCCGCAAATCCCGCCACGCTGCACTGCTCCACCGCGCCCTCCACCAGCTCCACCGCCGCCACCACTGCCACCACCACCCCCACCCCCTCCACCACCGCCGCCTCCACCACCCCCGGTTCCGCCACTGCCCCCCCCACCACCAGCACCACTCCCACCACCGCCGCCACCGCCGCCGCCCCCCCCACCCCCTCCACCACCACCTCCCCCACCTCCACCTCCGCCACCCCGGCCCCCTTTGCCCCTGCCGCCCTTGCGCCGCCCACTGGGAGCGTACGCAGCTCCGACCCCCTCAACATCTAGGAAGTCGACAGCAACAGTTGATGCAATGGAGGGGAGAAGGGGGGAGGGGAAACATCCCTCAAAGAAGGGAGTGCGGGGATCGCCACGAGAGGCACCTACACCTACAATGCTCTTCTCAGCTGCTAGGAGCTCCTTCTCGAGCAGGTCGACAGTGAGGTATGTGGGGGAGAGAGCGAGAAAGTGGTCCCTGACAGCGCGAAGAGAGTCAGGGAGGCGAGTGACTAGGTTGTAGAGGGTGAGGTACATCGGGGGGGGGGGGGGGGTTCTTGGCTAGGAAATCGGGGGGGAGCGCGGCACGATAGCGGAGATCACTAGTACAGAGGTGAGTGATGAGGTCAGCTACATTGGCAAAGGAAGACAGATCCGGGGAGAGATAGGGCAGTGAGAGACGGCCTATCGCAGCAGTAGCAGGGGAGGAGTAGCGCGCAACTAGAGCATCGTACAGTTCCTTAGCGGTCTTATGCTGGGCGAAGTGCTCACGCTCATCTAACGACAGGTGGCTGCGAACGGCTAGGCGAGCGTGTGCATCACGGGTCTGCCACTGTGAGCGAACAGTACTGTCAGCAGTAGCAGCAGGAGCAGGAGCGGCGCCTGACGTGTGGTCATAGAGGGAAACATCGTCCTTGGCAGTGATATGGAGGAACAGGTGCAGGTCATCGAGCCAGACATCAAACTTAATCGGTCGGCCCTCTGCATCAAAAGTGAGAACAGTGGGACTGGCCATAGTGGCAGTAGCAGTAGCAGTAGTAGCAGTAGTAGTAGCAGTAGTAGCAGTAGCAGTAGCAGCAGTAGCAATAGTAGTAGTAGCAGTAGCAGGAACAGGAGCAGTAGGTGCTGCACGTGGGGCGGCGCGGCTCGGTCAGGGCGGCGCGACTCGGGCGGCGCGGCTCGGGCAGGGCGGCGCGGCGTGGCTCGGACTAGGCTACGCGGCACGGCGCGACGGTGTGCCTGCGCGTGGGCGGCTGTAGCGGGCGGTCCGTGGCTGTGCGTGGGCTGCAGTCGAGCGCGGGCGGCGGCTTACTAGGGCGACGCGGCGGCCTACGGGCGGTGCTGCGGCGCTTTGGACGGCCAGGAGGGCCGGTCGACGGGCGGCTAGCGGGCTGCTCGTGGCGGCGCTAGTCGCGCGGGCGGCTTACAGTCGGCGCGCGCGCAGCAAAAGGCCGCGCGCGGGCTGCTAGCGGGCTGCGCACGGGCAGCAGGAGAAGGAGAGGCGCACGAAGGCGCACTAGGAGAGAGGCGCTCGAGGGCGCTAAATCGATACGGCGCTCGAGGGCGCTTCTAGCGGTGGGCCCTTAGGTAAGTGGTCCTAGGTCTAGAACCTAAGCTCTAATGCCATGTCATAATCAAAAAGTGTTGGACTAGAAACAAGTTGGGAGTACAAGTATGAAACCCTAGAGAAATGTACCCCTTAAAGGCTAACCCACTGTAGCCTACAAAACAGAAACATATACAATGTTTGACAGAGGGCTGCAGGACGGCGCGTGCAGCGCAATACGTCACAAGGCAGGGCAGGCAGGCAGGCAGGCAGGCGCAGGACAACACGTGGGGTAGCGTGGTAACCGCAACGGTAGGTGGGCCCGAAAAAAACGGTCCTACCGACCTAGTGCTCTGATACCATATTAGAATCTAGCAGCAGGAATGAATCAACTATGAAAGAGTTGGGTACATGCATGAAACCCCAAAAAGGGGCTGTACCTCATATTGGCTACCCCACTACAGCCTACACATATGTAACATGCATATACTTCGACACAGACGCAGGACAGGAAGGTCCTAGCGGAACCTGCGGCGGAGCTGGAGATGAACTGCTCGGATCCAAGGGATCAGGACATTAGGGACCTCCCCCTTGCTGCACAAGGGGAAGACCGCAGTGTAACGCGAGTAGTCGTCGACAACCAGCAGAAAGTACCGCTCACCGCCCTGTCCACGAACGCGGGCTGGGCCCCACACGTCCAAGTTGAGGGTCTGTAAAGGAGCCTCTGTCGGGGGAAACGAGGAGTGAGGAGCGGCGCGCTGCCGCCCCTCGACGCAAGGAAGGCAGGGTGGCGTAGGCGAAGCAGGGAGGGGAGGGAGAGACCTGGGAAGACCAGACACAAGGAGACGACAGTGCATGCGACGGAGACGTGGCAAGGAGGGGTGACCCAGGCGGTGGTGCCAGAGAAGAGTCTGGTGCAACAGGGAGCGACACTCACAAGGGGAGGCTACCTGACCTGACGCAGACACCTGACCAGTAGCAGCTACCTGAGGAGGCGTAGTCGTCAGTGTGTAAAGACTCGACCCTGGCCGACGGGTAAACGTGGCCAGGTGGCGGCACGTCTGGGAGCACATACAGATCGCCACACGCTGGCGACCAGGGGTGAAGGTGTCAACCTCCGCATCCTGGAGGATAGCAGTTATCACCAAGTTCGTAGAGAACAAGGGGAGGTTGAGACCTGAGAGTGAGCAAGACGGAACCGCCGGGCACGGGAGCACAGTGGTGGACCGTGCAAGAACTGGGCCCCCTGAGGGGTCAGCCAGAGAGACTGCAACAGGTGCAGTGAATAGTATGAGTGCATTACTGTCACAAAAGAAGCAGCGGGAAGCACCTAAGTCAAGCGTGAAGGTGTGCAAGACCTCAGCAGGCGCAGTACCTGAGAGAGCAGACTCGCTCGTACCTAAGGCAGCAGCCTCACCAGCACCTAGAGTACCAGTCTCTATACCGGGGTCAGGCGGCACACACAAGTAACAGTCTCCATCAGCACTAATCTCCAATGCATACATGGCAGTAATAATAGCATCATAGTCAAGAGCAAAGATGTCTACGCCAGCCTTAAGCAACTCATACCAGCGAGGGCGCTCAGCGTCCTCGCCCATCTCCTCACGCGAGGCGTCGTCAAGGCGGGAGAAGCAGCGGTGCTGGGTGTGGAACTTCCCGCATGTCTGACCCTTGCGGTCACCTCTGCGAATGACATACAGGCAGCGACCACCACCCCCAGACCTCCCACGCTGAGCAAGCCACTCACAAAGCGGCTGGGTCGTCTGGGGAATCTGCTGCTGCTGCTGCTGTCTTTGGCCAGCGCCCGTGCCTCCACCCCGACCGCCATCTCCACCGCCACCACCGCCCCGGCCGCCACCGCCGCTGCCACCGCCGCTGCCACCCCCTCCGCCGCCACCGCCTCCACCGCCGCTGCCGACGCTACCACTCCCGCCAGCACTCCCGCCACCACTCCCTCCGCCACCTCCTCCTCCTCCACCACCTCCACCACCACCCCCCCCTCGGTGCCACCTCCGCTACCCTTGGCTCCCTTGACCTTGCCGTTGCGGCGCCTCCCACCAGGAGCAGAAGTAGCACCAGCAGACTCAGCATCAAGGAGGTCAAGAGCAGCAGCAGTAGCAAAGGAGGGGGCGAGGGGAGAAGGAGAGCAACCCTCAAATATGGGGGTGCGAGGAGCGCCACGAGCAGCAGCTACAGCGACAATGCTCTTCTCTGCTGCAAGGAGGTGCTGCTCTAGGAGGTCGACAATGAGTTCGGTAGGACAGCGAGCGAGAAAGTGGTCCCGGACTGAGCTAAGAGTGTCAGGGAGACGGGTGACTATGAAGTGGAGCGTCCAGTACATCGAAAGCGGGTGCTTAGCATAGAAGTCTTTGGGGAGGGCGGCACGAAGGCGGGTGTCACTAGTGCGAAGGTGGGTAATGAGATCGGCAACTGTGGTTAAGGTGGACAGCTCAGGAAACAAGTAGGGTAGCATGAGGCGGCTAAGCTCAGCTGTGGCAGGGGAGGAGTATCGAGCCACTACAGCGTCGTAAAGGGCCTTAGCCAGGCCTCTGGATAGGATTTGAACCAGTCTTTCTCATAAGGGTAACCAGCTGCTTTCACTCTTTTTGTAAGGGTACCAGGCAAGCACCACTCTTTTTTGTAAGGGTTGAAACCAAACTGGGACTTTTCATCATACTTAACTAGTAGACCTTACGCGTGATAACTTAGCACAGTAGGTATTGTAGTGAAAGGGACGCCGGATCGATACTTGTGGGAGGCATTTGGTTGGCAATGTTATCCATGGGACTCGGTTCTTCGAGCTAATTCTCTACTTTTTTAGGAGGATGTATGTTCCCGATCAGTGCGACTACACCACTTTACTCTGAAATATTAGGGTCCTAAACATATTCACCTTTTCCTGTAAGTGTCAGAAAAAAATCCACTTTGTAAAGTAAGGGTCCGAATCAGAACACACCCTTATAGTAAGGGTTTATAAGGGTGATTCACCCTTATATCAAGAGGCCTGGCCTTAGCGGTCTTGTGCTCGCCAAAATGCGTGGGCTCAGCTAACGGAAGATGATTGCGAACAGCTAGGCGCGCAGCAGCATCACGAGTCTGCCACTGGGAACGAGCGCTAAGCTCAGCGGTGGCAGCGGGAGCGACTG